GAGAAGAAAGAAAAAACAACGTTTCAGCATGGAATAAACCTATTACTTGTTCCTTTGCTGCCTACGCATGCTGACGCAGCTACCCACCGGAACTACTACAGCCTACACCTGCTGCGACCACCATCCCTTCCTCCAAATCTTTTTCTAGATCTCTTCGTCATTCCCTCTCTTCCTCCCTGAGCCACTTGCCCCCGTCTCTCACTAAACCAGCATTCTGTCTCTTCACAGCTGTCTGTTCCAGGACCAGGCTTTCTATCTCCCTTCTATTCCTTTACAGATGTCGCCCAGTCTCACACCTGAAGAAGGCTTCACGGCCGAAACGTTGTTTCCTTTTCCTCTTTTCAGCATGGAATAAACCTATTACTTGTTCCTGTATAATAAGGATGCTAACTGACATTTTTTTTTTCATTTAAATAGTCAGTCGTTTATAAATTGGTTTGTAGTCCACCTTGAGTCTGAAAGCTATGGGTGCTGCCCACATTTTTAAATGGTGGTGGAATTTTCAAGTTTGAATTTTTACTGTGTGCTACCCTGTGACCAAGGTTCATTTTCCTTTTTAAAAATAATTTTTAATTACTTTACCTGCATTAGTATAAATTATGAGAATTAAATAAGAGAAGTGCAACTGAAAAGTACTGAAAAGCGAGTACTGTCAGAAATAAAGGAGCATTGTTGAAATCAATGGCCTTCTTCTAGTTTGGCGGTTCAAAGCCCTGGTCCGGGAGGGCCGTAGTGTCTGATTTTCATTCCTGCTGGTTTCTAAATCCCCAGTGCTAATTGACGACTTTAATTGATCTGCTTGGTAGTTTAAACTTTCAGTTAACATGTTTCCCTCAGTCCTAACTTTCAAAAATGCAATGGTACTGGTTCCAGCCACTTCAGTATCTGGGCTGATTACAGATAATGTACCATCCAACCTTTTTCAAGCAAATGCAAATTTAAAAACGTGTCCAGGAGAAAACTGAGATGCATTAACGTGTGCTCCAGACCTCGACTGAAGCTAAAAACATAAGACAGAGTGGACCTCCATTACCAGAGCTGGAAACCACTCTTCTAGATGAATATAATATAGATGGGTTTTCAGAAGATGCAAAAGAGGGAAAGAAAAAAAATATAGCTGGCCTTTACCTTTGCCTGAAACATTCAGTTTAGTGTTTGTTCAGGACTTTCTCAGACCTGGGTACAACAACAAGACAAATTTGAGTAAAGATGAGCAGAAACTTTACTTTTGTTAACTTGTCTGTGTATTTTAATACTCAATTCAGCTTCATGTCAGAATTAAGAAGTGTAGTGTATGTTTTGCTGAGATGTGGATTGGTTAACTCTTAAATTTTATATATTAAAATACATTAATTTTAAGTAAAAATACGTATTCTACACACATAACATGGAAAGCACTGAATTGGCAAACCTTTTTGGGGCAGCTGTCAAAAGAACAAAAGATAGTTGTTAATAGTATATTGACTAGGGCTCATGCCTGACCTTGACCTTAAAGGTTTACACAGTAGGAAGTAACAGAATACTCTCTGTCACAGAATCTCTGTCTGTCATTTTATAGGCCTCGAGACAATACTGTGTCACTTTTCCAGTGTTGCAATTCCTTGTGCAGTAAACTTAGTCTCTGGGATCTTGTCATATCCCACCATTTCAGTTGCACCCAGAGGTGTCAAGTGGGGATTAAATTCAAGACTGACCAGGCTGTGAAATGTTCTCTCTGTTATACCTCTTAAAACCACACCCTCCAAAATGATGGATGGCCATACATATGATGTGGCAAATAATAACTGTTCTGTGACTGAGTAGTGTTGGAGTCTGGCAAGAAACCTCTGTGTTCCACTTGTACTACATACAAGAAAGAAAAAGGCTTTTAAGTTGGTTAGGCATAATGCAAGATATTGTTATTTTTAAAGTTAAGAGCATGAATGTATTACTGCTGCAAAAAAGTCTAAATTGCATTTAAAATAATTGTTTTTATTTAAATAAAACAGTAATGCACCCCAGATTCAGATACTTTTATGGATTCATTGCATTCCATTTGCTCCAGTGCCCTTCAGTCTTTAAGTAAACCACATGTTTTGTCTGCTGCATCTTAACAATAGCCTGTTGTTTCAAGAAAGTTAGCATATGATTTTATAAATGTTCGGTATACTGTGGCAAATTAGGATATATTCTCAGCATATTTACTTTATGCCTCTCTAGAAATGGATTGTATTTCCTGCAACTGCTTAGATATTTTATTTTAGGGTTACCAGAATACTCATTGTAAAATATTCAGATACTCATTGTGTCTAATTTTTCTAGAAAAGAATGTTACCTAGTTTGTTTAACAACTGTTATCTGAGTGTACTAAATACAAATGTCTGTGTTGTTTTGTAGGTCATTTGTGATTTTTTTAGCTATTGAAAGGAGAAGTTATATTGTAGTATTACTGAAAGAGATAAACAAACATAATTAATTTATAACTTACAGTAGGTTAGTTATGAGAGTGTGGAGCTGTGTAAAATCTTGCAGTTCTGCGAACTCTAATTTAAATCTGTTTTTTATAAAGTTATTTAAGCTACAGTAATTGATTGAAACTGCACCTAAGCCTTTAAATACATTGAATTGTCTAATAATACACTAAGCTTATTAAAACAATTCACATACTGTACAATGTAATGCACTATATTTACCAGCTTTACTGCCAATAAAATTGATACTGTATCTAAGAATACAGTACTGTGTGTGTTGAGGTTGTGGGTGGTGAAACAATCATGACTGTGTGCACGGCTCGTCTGTTTGCAAGAGTCCTCACAGGATTTGCGGTTCACAGCTTTCCCAGTTTCTAAATGTAAGGCTGTAGTGTTGCAGCCATGAAGAAGGGGCTGGACGTGGCACTCACAGAAAGAGAACACATGGACTGCTGGATGGCTCTGTCCTGCCTGCTGTGCCAAGGAGAGTCGGCGCAGCATTAGTCTTTGCTGTCCATTCTCCTCAGCAGATGGATCCTACAGTTGTGTGCAACTTGCTTATTGCATCCTGTTAAGATTAGTAGCCGCACAGCCAGATGGGCCTTTGAGCACAGCTGTGGATAGAGAAAAATAAATAGAACCTTTTTCTTGCTGCTGTCTGCTCTTAAGATGCTGAAGTGTTATACTCATGACAAGAAATACTGCTGATCTAAAGTCACAGAACCTCTTAATCACAGGTATTTTAAGCAAATGTCCAGCTGCTCCAAGCTGTGGCTCTGGATGGATAAGTTATGGTTAAAAATGCAAATGTGTTACTGCAGTGTATTACTGTTTCTGCTCACTCCTCACCTTTGCTCTGTAAACAGGGGAGCAAATCATCGTTAGTCTCAATTAATACACAAAACTGTAGTGCATGAAATGTGAAGATTTTCCAATTAATGAGGACTTAAGCTGTTTGCAGCCTGCTCTGAATGAGATAAATTAAACGGACAGAATTTGTTAAGAACGAGGTACAACATAATGGCTGCTGTTACAGCATGTAGACAGATAGTGATGGCCACTCTGTTGGGTTTTAATAGTCCTTTTCAATTTATCTGTGATTCTATTAGCTCATGATTGTTGTAAATCTCATCTTAATGTATCACTGCACAGGCCTGTATAAGGAGGCACTATATTATGAATGAATGCCTTGATTACAATACCAGGCTGTTTTCTTCACAATCGCTTCCTTGACTGGTGTTGCGTCCTTTTACTGCTAAACATCACGTTAATCTGTCATTTAAATTTCTGGAACAATGTGATATATAAACATGGTAAACATGTTATCAAGTGGAAAACATGGAAGCCGGTGTAGTTTCAGATTTTAAGTTTAGCAAAAACATATTTCAGATATTCATGAGGTGTTAGAAGGAGATCCTTCTATCCAGTCAGACTTTGAGATGATGTGTCTGAAATAAAACATTCAGTTTATGGTAAAGCATGCACCAAAGTTGTTTTTTTTAATATGGTAAATGATTTTTTAAGTAGGGATGCTGTGTCAGCATGTGTAGGCTGCAAAGGAACAGGTAAAGGTTTATTCCATGCTGAAAAGAGAAGAGACACAATGTTTCAGCTGTGGAGCCTCCAGGTGTCGACATGATTTTTTTATATGAGATGTGTGAAGGTTTGGTCCAATCTGAAGAAGATCACATGCTGATGCAGATCGTAGTTGTATGCAGACATTGCCAGCAAAGGAATATACAGTAAAACAAAAGGTGTAAAATGCAGGAAGACAAAACAAAATGGGTCAGCGATTTCTTTAATCTCTAATTGATGCGGTACATTATGGGGAATATGAGACTGTCAAAGTTATCTTATGGCCAAGTATTGATACCTAAAATGACACATGGTTGTGAATTCGGCTGATTGAGGAGCATTTACAGCTGCTGTACTTCTTGAATATTTTGAGCTTTCCCTGGGAATATCATATCCAAAGACGATCCGTTTCTCTTCAGTTAGAAGTCCTTGACAACAGCTCCTTTAGCGTAAAATGTTACCACAATGCTACATTTCGATGCACTCACTACCTATAACTTAGAGGTCCCCTCGGGGCTTCCGTTTTGCTGTTTTTGTTGAATTATACCGCTAAAATGAGCAGTCGACATGGATAGCAATCAAATCAATTAAATATCAGGTTCCCAATATATTTTAATGTTTCTTGTCACTTTGCAATACTTTAGATTCTAAAACTTAATTTTTAATGATTTATCTGTTTGAAAAGTTGTGTGCTGCATTGCACTCATGTGCTGTCATCAGCAACTTTGATTTCCAGCACTGATTCACAAGTGATTTTATATGTGGCTTGTAAATTGTTCAAGTCCGTGCCCTTTTTAGCTTGTTAAGGGATAGAAAGATAAGGCTGAGTCTGACAGGAAGTATACATACTGTAATTATAGATATACAGTACAGTGTTTCATAATTTGCTTTTAGGTAAATTCAAGTACTGTGCACATATTTTGTTTTAAAAATAATGCATATGTTAGCAACTAAATCCTTTTTTTTTTATTTCAGGAAATCATTCTTATCCTTGTGGCGGTGCTGATATTTATGTTTTGTGTATATTGCTTTTTCTACCTGAATTTGACCACGGAAATTGACTTGGACTTAGATGTGGACTAGAAGGCAGCTCCACGTCTTCTCTGTTTCCTGGCCTTGTGAAGATATCATGTGCAGCACGTCGAGACCCACCGAGGAGAGCACACAAACAGAGGCAGAGGGGATTAGAGGTATCTTCCTCCTCTCTGGCTTCAATCCCATCTTGCTTCACTCTCCACTGCCTGTGCACCCTGCCCCCTAGGGTGTGGCCTATCAGACTTCCACTACATAAGGAGAATCTGTTGTACTGCAGGGCTAAACAAAACCTTCGAAGGAAACAAAGAGGAAAGGAAGCACTGCTAGGTTTCTTAAACCTTTGCTCCTGTGAATGGAATACCACTGCATTTTAGAAAAATTAATTATTAAGGGACGGAAGAAATACATTTTTTTGCTGAAGTCTGAATGAAGTCTTCCTTATGGCTACAATTCCTCTAAGGTCATATTTAGTCGGTTGTGTTTAGAACTTAATTGGTTGACCATTTCATCTTGGGGGCTCACCGTAGGCTTTGGAATTGTTCAGCGTTTGTGTCTGCTGGGTTCAGGAACAGTTGGAACAAGCGTGAGTCGGGGTCGTTTTGTGACAAAATAAGATCAGTCAATCAGTAGAAACAGCAGTAGAATATTACAGTAGAATTAAAAACTTTTCTACATGTAGAAAAATATGCAAATCTGTTACAGCAATGCAATATCTCTTTCATGCATTCCAGTGCACAAGCCTCTGCTTACAGTTTCAGGGATCATAATGGCAAAGATTAAACATCTAATCCTGGGCTGATTAAGAATGTGCCCAGAATACCAAACAAGAATTTTAATCCATTTGGGGGATGATCTGCAGATGATGCTATAAACAACATGCGTTATTGCAAAGGGGAAACAGTGCTTTTATGAAAATAAATAAATGCATTGCACAGATTTTTTTGCACAATGTAATCCAACCATGAAGGGTTTTCTTTGCCTTTAATATAGAATTTGATTCCTATTTCTTTCAGGTTTGTCATATTTATTGTTGCATAATGAAGTTGATTCATTTCTGTATTAATTTTGCACCATTGTCCTATACATCCTGTATTCATAACAATAAAATATGTTTGGAAAAACAGTATTTAAGTCCTTGTGAAAAAGCTTAATACGATTTTTCTGCTCTAGTATAAACAGTAACATTTACTGTCTCCTGTGTATAGTCCTTTCTTAACCATATGCAAACATAATTGCTTATCCCTTGGAATTCTGCATGGTGTGTACAAATTCTGTCTACACATGCAAGGTGTGTGTGGCCCTGTATGCATATGATTACACAGCAGTGCTTTGAATTTGTTTGGGCTAACTGAATTATTTATGTTCTGTGTGACATTTTTTAAGATGTTATGACTCACATACAGAACAACACAATCGAGTAACAGCAAGAACTAAAAATCAATAGATGATTCAGACCCATTTCTACAAAATGCAGAATTGTCCAGATTTTTAAAAAAAATAAATAGTGAAGTACATTATTAAGTAGTTTTGTGTGCACAGAAAGAAAATGTGCATCTTGACGATGGAAAACAAGTTCATAAAAGGTATTAAGATATTTCCCTATTAATTATGTTACCCCGGTTTTTAAGTCTGCAGAGAAAGGCAGATACAAATACAAGTTACTGTAGCTGTGAAATTACTTATAGCATACTTAATTCTAGCATATTTTGCTAGAGAAATCTAAGATGCATTTTAAAGATCAGAATTTCTTCTTGTTGAACAGTTAACTTGTCAGGGCCCAAATCTTCATGGTCATTTCGTAGAATGAAAACTAATATATCTTTTCCATTTTTAATGTAGTCTCTGGTAGTACATTGTTAATTACAGAGTTTTGGAAAGCAGTTGACTTTCCACAGTGGCATAAACATCTATAGTTACCCAGGGGTCTTTCATTACAGTTTAATTGCTGTATAAAGGAGAATATTGTGCTGTAAGTCCAACATTTTCATCTGAAGAATGAATTTGGACTTATCTGATGATCTCTCATGGTGGTCCAGAACATAGTGGGCTTTAAACTTCTGGTTTCTGGGTTTCATTCAAAACTGGTGCACCTTCTGTATCGAGATTGCACATTTTCATTGTGTTCGTTGGAGGTATTCTCCAGGTGCTTTAGTTTCCCCCCATCTTTTAAAGGTGTCCTGCCCTGTTACCTGTGTCTGCTGGGTAAGGCTCTGACTTGCCATGACCCTCTTTAGTATGAAGTGGATAATAATATACAGTTACTGTATCTCCATGTCAAATCTTGAGTTTTGCTTTTCTAATTTGTCATATGATAAAGGATCTGGTCTGAAGTCACTCCAGGTGTTGCACACCTGTTATCCATTAAGCCTAGTAAATACAAATAGCTAGGGACCAGTCAGGCCAAATCATTAAGATTAAACTGCAAGAGCTGCTGTAAACTGCAAGAGCTGAACCTTACGCCCAGTAACATAAGTGTAAATTGCACAGAAGTTCTTCAGCAGCTTCTAAACTCCACATCACAGCTCAGAAATATTCGCACTTTATTCTTGGCAAGAGGTGACCAACAGCATGAAAATATAGCTAATTGATCCCTGCAAGTAAAGGCTGTCCATTAAAACAAAGCCAAAAATTGTCCACAGCACCTTTATATTTAATTACAGGGAATGTAACAAAAATACAGAATAAGCACAATTACACACAAACTATTGAAATTTCAGAGAGATGTCAGAGATACAGTAACCTGTATAACTTGTGGTTCTTTGAAAATGTTAAGTTAGACCCACAGGGGTCTGTGGTGTATGAGGAGCTAAAATGGATCAATGGATACATTCACGAGTCTGACTACCTGGGAGCCTGAGTTTTTCTATCAAAAGGCTGAGGTAAAAAAAAAATCTAATTCTTAAGGGTTTTGTGACCTTGTAAAACCTTTAAATTACAAAAGGTTATTAAAATGTACAGTATGTATCTGAATACTCTTACCCCATCTTTTCTGCTCGTGATAGTTTATTGTTTTTGGAAAAAAAGGGCCATCTTAATTTTCGATAATTGTCCATAAAAATAGTTTTGCCAAAAAACTCATATTGCCTCTCTTTTAATTGTATTTTTACATGCTGTTACGTTGTACCTTAACCTGTATTAACCTGAAATTCTAAAGGCAGAAGCAGAGTGTGTTACTTGTCCATGAATTAAAAAAAAAAAGAAATATAAAAAGAATATGAAAGAGAACCACAACCACAAACTTATGAAAAAAGCCATTAATATTTTACCCTTCCCACGCATTAACCTTTGCGAATAATGAAGGCAAAATTTGTATTTTTCTCACTACAATTGCTAACTTACTGGACTTAAAATGAAGGCATACTAATGTGTGACCATATGGTCATACGAGGTTAAAATAGGTTAAGTAGTTCAGGTGGGTAGCTGCGTCAGGATGCGTAGGCTGCAGAGGAACAAGTAATAGGTTTATTCCATGCTGAAAAAAAAAGAAGAAAGAGAACACAACGTTTCGGCCGTGGATCCTTCTTCAGGTGTCCTTAAACCTTAACCTTAAGATAGGTTAAGACCTGCAAACTCTTTCTAGGCAAGAAAAAAACACATACACTGTACTGTATGTCTGTAGGAAGACAGAATCATTGGCTAGGCCATGCAGCTGAAAATGTTTGTCTTCTGTTTGCCCCAAGGTGTCAGAGAGTGCGTTGGGAGCACCAGGTCGGACCCTATTCGGCTCTCAGACTGAAGGTGATTGCAACTGATTGGCCTCGAAATCCCAAGGGCAAAAGGCGAAAGTTGTAGTTGAAACAGAAGAACTAGGTCGGGTAGCCAAAAGAGTCAGGTCGAGGGTATCCAAATCCAAAACGAGAAGTGAGGCGAAGTCGAAGTTGGAGGAGCCAAGGTCGGGCAGCCAAAAACCAGGTCGAGAGTAGAAGTGCGTCCAGTCAGGAGTGACGAGGCGATTATACAGTATATGCTATTTTCATACACAATTATAATAACGCCGTTAAAAGCATTTCGTTTTATTAAACAAGAAAATACATGAAAAGATCCCTTTACACAGGGAAAGGACATAAATGTAACACATTGCTTAAATGTTGCCAGTGCAGTACTGCAACACATTTAGTATCAACAGTTTGTTAATTTTAGCAGACATATATCCGTTTTTGTTTGTTAGTAGAATTGTAGTATATGAATTTATTTGCAACTTATTTTATCTGAACAAGTATAATGTTTTTTTGCCTTTTTACCTTCAAACTCAATTAACTGTTCCTTTTACTTGATTTTTTATTTTATTGTATTTTAGTGCAGTCATCGTTCTAAAAGAATAATATTCATAGGAAATAAAATTCAACTACAGCAATTATAAAAGCAATAGAATAAAGCTACAATTATATATGTATTATACATTATAAATGTATGGTTATTTTCTGCAGACAAGCCTGTAGTTACTTCTTGTGTTTTATAATGTAGTGTAATGTGGACTACATAGAACTACTAAATTCCATTGTTAAGTACTGAATTCACCATGAGGAATTTTAATATACTAAAGTACATTATTTCACAGCTGAACCAGTTCTGTAAGGAAGATTGGACCAGAATTTCTCTCACGTGTAATGAGAGATTGTTCAACTCTTTCAGGAAATACTTAAATCAAGTTATTGGTGCCACAAGTCACTGAATCACAAACTTATTCACACAAAGATATTGAAGGCTTGCTGATTAAAAAAAAAAAGTATAACTTTTGTGTGAAATTTGTCTAATGAGGTTAATTTTATATACACTTAGGACTTGGTTAGGACTAGATGAATGTCAAATATGAATGAATAAGTTAAACAATGAAATTTTAAGGGGATGCACTTACTTTTTCACCACAATGTGTCACCAGGAATTCTAAACCACAATGTCCTGACTGTTGTCCTTCAACTGTAACTGCAACGGCATTCTGTTTAACTGATTCTCAGAGCAGCATAAAACATCTTTTATTTTGAGAGTATTAACTGCCAAAAAACTGGTTATAGCCTGATGTTCATAGTACTGCTCATAGCACATTAGTTTCTCACTTGAAAAACAACAAACTTGGTGATCTTTGTTGTCCACTTCGGGTTGACATTTTCTAAGGTTTATTTTCCACAGTGCCGTACTACTTAAACCTTTGGCGAAACCAAAGTAAACTCACAATTTAATTAACCTTATTTTTTTTCTTATTATTTGTGGCCACAATACGCTTATACATTGAGGCTTTATGCTGGGTTATTGCTGTTTTATTCAATATTCCACACAAACCTTGTTTTTAAACAGATAAGTAAACCGAAAACAGATTTGTATGTACAAGTTATTCCAAATATCGTAAATAGATAAACCAAATAATTGTTGTCATCGTGAGTTATGTATTTAAAAAATACAGGGTTATGTGCAACTTTTAAAATTTAGGAAGCGTAGCTGTACATACTGTAAGTATTTATTTTATTTTTCCTGGCTATATAATTGATTATATAAGTTCTACACCTAAGCTCCAGGCACAGTTTACTGTAAACACAATGCAATTATTATAATAGATACATTTCCAATAGTATATATCAATCATAAGATTTTGTTTATGTTATTAAGGCACTGTCCGAAGAGCCTGGCTGAGCTTGGCTATTTCCTTCTAGTCTCAGGGACTGTTAGGAATAGAGGACATAAGGGGTAGTTTGGCTGTGATACTCTGTACTTGATGGTTGATGTTTGAAATAATATAAAACATGCTGTGATAGCTTTTTAAGGTCTGCAATAAAGAATAAAGTTAATCATAACTGTTTTAATTTTAAAGTTAAAAGTTCATTAACTAAAACCTTTTTGTGACAATGTATAGGAGTATAGGTGGGACATACTGTATACTCATGTATACTGCATTAACTGTGCCTTGTAAAAGTATGCAGGCCCTTGGCCAGTTTTCACTTTTTGATGCGTTAAAGCAGTTGCCATGTTAGTACGAGAGTGTGTTCAGTTTATATTTCCACTGGTTGCCATGGTGAGAGGAGATAGGTAATAACAGAGTCTGAATAACATGCTTGCAGTGACACAGCATTCCCTTGTTTAATAAATTCTCTTGTTTAATAGTTGTTTTTAGACGCCACCCATCCTTTTCTG